ACACACACACACACACACACACACACACACACACACACACACACACAAAATATTGGGCCTGATTTTCTGTTTGCATGCATTTTGGGTGGTCATTTACACCAGTGAACGGTGAATGTAAAATGCTACTATTATGCTTGAGAAGAAAGGTGTTCTGGCCAATAGTTAAGGTACTAGCCTAAGATGTGGGAGACCTGGGTTCAAACCCCTGCACCACCACAGACTTTCTGTGTGACCTCGGACAAGTTATTTAGCATTTCTGTGCATCAGTTTCCCAAATGCAAAATGGGGTAAACAGCACTTCCTTGCCTCACAGGGTGTTGTGAGGTGCTTACTATGGTAATGGGGTGTATGTGCACGTATAGGTGCCTTATATAGATTCATACCCATTTTGTACTGGTGTCAATGACTATGCTAGGAGTGGGGCAGCAATGATACAGACCAGTTTTCCAGTACGCGTGCCTTCAGAGTGTCCTAATCCCACACTGGCATGCTATAATTAGCAGTACTCTTTAGGTGACCACTCTGGAAAGCTGCACCAGGAGTGCGTATGGCAGTGTGAATGTGTGAATTCGTAGTCAGAGCTGCTTGATCCTGAGAGGTGCTGAGCACCCACAACGCTCAATGAAATCATTTAGGCCCAGATCATGCACGACATTTGGGCCTCACATTAGTTCTCACCTGTGGGACAGAAAGTAGGCAGAGCAGCTACAGAAATTTCCCATCACTACAGTCATTGAGACTAGCTGGAGTTGAAGACTGGCATCAGTTTCCATCCACCTTCTTGTTTTTCTTTCTCTGGCCCACTCTCTCTAGTAAACCTGCCCGGACTGCAAGTTAATTTCCCAAGCTGTGATCAGGCCATTGGTCCGTCTTCCTGAGGGATCTTTATAACTGGGAAATGAATGGACATTGCATCCTGCGTATGATGCAGCATATTGTGAAATTGGCATAGGAGACTCTGAGCACAAATTATCTGGTCTTCACATCATAATTGCTACTGATGAGCTAAGGAAATTGCTAAATAATAATAGCTACCATTGTGCTATCAGAAGAATAAAATAGATAACACCTATAGCATCCAATTTTTAGAAGAAGTGAGTTGTAGCCCACGAAAGCTTATGCTCTAATAAATTTGTTAGTCTCTAAGGTGCCACAAGTACTCCTGTTCTTTTTGCGGATACAGACTAACACGGCTGCTACTCTGAAACCAATTTTTAGAAGGAATCCCTTGTCCTTTTTTAATCTGTTCTTAAAAGATTCCATAGGAAATCTGGTAGAGCGGCAGAGCCAGTAATGCTTTCTACCATTAGTGACAGCTCCATGCTTGCAAAAGTATCCCTCACATTCTTTTTGTTTTCTTAATTAAGGACTTGCCAGCGTGCTGAATGCATTTTGCATATGAGATTTTTAGCAAATGTAATTAAACTGGCATCTCGTGACATCTCATGTGTTGGGATATTTGACCACAATGTTTTTTATTTAAAAAAAAATCTCTGAACGCTAATATATAACATCACTGGAAACTCCCAATTCACCAGCATGAAATAAAGCTGGAGTAAAAAGGGACAATGCCAATGTGGCTTAGTGCACCCATTTAGATGTTTTTGTGGGCAGGGGGCAAGGAGAGAGAATTAGGGGTTACAAAATCAGAAATTAAAAAGCAAAAGAAAGAAAACCGATTACTAAATTAATTATTTTCGTTGCAGCACTGGTAACCTCAAATCAGCTGCTTTGGGCTAGTGCATGAGAACAAGGAAGTGTGTCTCGGTCTCTCTTTCTAGCCTAGTCTTTCTAGTCTTAACCACTCCCATCACCATCTTGCAAACAAGCCACAATCTTGCAAACAAGTACATGCATAATTTTGTGTACTTACTTAACTTTGTGCATGTAAGTAGTCCCATTGAAACCGGACAACCCATGTGTGTAAAGATAAACATGTGCCTAAGAGTTTGCAGGATCAGGGCCTGTAGAACCAATGAGGGCCAAAAGTATAATTGAGTAGCCTAGTTTCACTGTCAAAATGACATGGAGAAACTTACAATCAAGTAGTATAAATGGTGAAAAAGTGTAGTAGAGCTTTAAAATTCTTCTGGTTTTAGCGATCTAATGTATTATGGGAAGAAAATGTGAACACCGATCTATTTACCATTATATCAATAACATTATTATCTTGACACTGTTCCTTTAAACTATGGGGAGGTTTAATTCCATTATACCTTTACCTCCTACCAATGTGGTCCATCTGTAATGAGCTGTAGCATCTCCAGAGGACCAGTAATGAGAAAAAAATGAAGATCCATGTAACAGCTTGGAAATGAAATTCTGTATCTAATTGTTGACATTTCCTCTTGTTCCTCTTAGGGCAAAGGTGAAGAAAGGTGTGAATATTTTCAGTGTAAGAGCCAGCAGCCCGTACTTATGGGACATTAGAGAGAGCGTGGATTATACTGGGAAATATGCACCAGCTGTCATCGTTTGTCAGAGGAAATCTGCTACCTCGGAAAACAGGTAGGTCATTTCCAATAGTTGTACATTTTATAAATGAGATAATTTTGCTTTTTTAAAAGCAGATGTATCTGCTTTGCTATGGTATTAATAAAACTTTTATTATAGTTTCTAAATACACATAGTAAATGTATCAATGGAAAAACTGATGCTGTCTTTAGTTTATAATACTCTGTTTACTGTACCGTATGTACTCTAAATCTATTTTGATTGCCTAAATGAAATGAAAACTACCAGGGAATCTTCATTTCACAATGTTTAAAAGGACTTGCCTTGTCTCTTTGAATTTAGTTCAGCCAGGTTGTTTAGTCTTTTAAAATTATTTGCTTCCAAACAGGTCAGGCATTATATTAGTGGCTTGTTAATTACAGTCTTCAGTATGTATCCTTAGCTTTTGAGAAGGAACTAAGAAACACATACCAGGCTTCAACCCATGTTCTTGTTAGTGAATTTTTAATCCACATTCAGAGAAGTGACATTCAGATCTTAAATTCACATGATGTAATAACTTAGGTAGGACACTGACTCCAAAAACAATATTTGGTTAGCAGTTGTTCCAGTTTCTAATCACAGTTGAGTGTTTTTAAGAATAAATGGTCGATACCTTTTGGTTTCATTTAATTCACTGTTCCTGGGAAAGCGTGGGGAGGGGAGAGCATGTTGGTAACGAGCTAACTGGCTAAAGATTTGTTATATTAATTATTGTTACTATTAAACTGGCATCATGAAGAGGGAGGTCAAATTCTGCAGTGATTTACCTGCATTGAAATGTACTTGGTTTGCACAGGGTGCAAGATTTGGCCCCTTTTAATTGAAAACCTCTTACCTCTAGATACACAGGAAACTAAGGGCTGGTCCACACTAAGCCCCCAGTTCGAACTAAGACACGCAACTTCAGCTACGTGAATAACGTAGCTGAAGTCGAAGTATCTTAGTTTGAACTTAAAGGTACTTACCGCGGGTCCACACGCGGCAGGCAGGCTCCCCCGTCGACTCCACCTACTCCTCTCGCAGAGCAGGATTACTGGCGTCGACGGCGAGCACTTCCGGGATCGATTTATCGCGTCTAGACAAGACGCGATAAATCGATCCCAGAAGATCGATTGCTTGCCACTGAACCAGCGGGTAAGTATAGACGTACCCTCAGTGGCTCTGGAATATAGGAAGGAGGGGAAGGGGGACTTCCTTTACTTTCCAGACATAAATCTGTTTCCCACACACACACACACACACACTAGAATTCAATTTCAAAATCCCCCTCGATATGGTATCCTCCACTTCCTCCCCTAAACCATATATCATCTCATAGCTGGCTGAATTTTAGTGGCTAGGGAAGGAATCTATATATATGCCCAAGGTCACAGCCTTTTCCTCAATAAAAGAAGAGAAAGATTATTAAAAGTCCTGAGTCAAAGCTCACTGAAGTCAATGAGAGCCTTTTCATTCATTTCAGTGGGCTTTGGATCAGGCCCAAAGCAATTATCTAACACCATCTACCCTTCCATTTTTTGTGGCTGTGTTCTGCAGTGCGGCGCAGCATTTCCCTGCTCCTCTTTCAGTAATGGTAAAATGTAGTGTGATATCAAGGGTGGAACAAATTTTGGCTACTTATTCCATTTCAATATTCTCCTAAGCCGAAGCATTCAGTGGCTGTCCTTAAAATGTGCCAGTTTCCATTAGATCATTACATAAGGTTAACCAGTAATTGAAGTATGTTCCCTGTCCTTCCACATGCTGACTATAGGGAATGACTTAGTAGTACTGCAAATATGGTAGTAATGTGATTTAGGCTCCAGTCCTGCAATAAGCTCTGCATGAGCAGACCCCTGTATCCCAGCAGAGCACCATTATTATCGAGTCTCTGCCCATGTAGAGTTCATTGCTGGTTTGGGGCCTTAGTTAGCTAAGGCAGGTGAGAACAAAGATTAATTATAAAAATAATGAATTAATGGAGATATCCTATCTCCTAGAACTGGACGGGACCTTGAAAGGTCATCGAGTCCAGCCCCCTGCCTTCACTAGCAGGACTAAGTACTGATTTTGCCCCAGATCCCTAAGTGGCCCCTCAAGGATTGAACTCACAACGTTGGGTTTAGCAGGCTAATGCGCAAACCACTGAGCTATCCATCCCTAGTCAGGCTTTTAGATTGACTAGGTGGTATCCATGCCAGGTCCTCAAAGGTTCTGGACCCATGTTGCTTATTGTAAGAAATGTAACTCAGTATCTATTTTGAATTTAATTAAAACACTTACAAAATCAAGAAAACATATCACCAAAGCTAAGCTGCTACTGCTACTGCTAAACTAAAAATGGAGCATTACAACAATCAAATCAAGATCAAATTAGTCTCAGTATTGGATTAGAATTACACCTTCAAATTAACTAAGTGATCAAATGAATGCTAAAAATAATCAATTCTTATAAATTGTAAAGAGGATTCTAAGAAGATGATTGTCCACTTGTTTTTAACTAAAGAATTTTACCAAATTTATCAGATCTATCATTTAAATGGTTAAGTATCTTAATACTGAAATCAAATTATTACCTAATGTCTGGACCACAACTTTACAGCTAATTAAAGCTTCCTTGTTAGACTTAATTTCTTGTGTGGTGGCTAAAACTTCCCTTCCCTTCCCTGCAACACAGATACTATAATACAGACCTCAATGGAACACTGCCCTGAGATTTCTAGTATTTTGTGCTCATTGTTGAGCGAGATAGTTTTGCCACTTGTGCTTTTGGGGCGTAATCTTTCATCACTGAAGGAGTTCTGGATTTACACTGCTGCAACAGGTCAGACCGGAAGTCTGTGGTGGAGCAGAGATTTGGATTCAGGTCTCCTGAGTTCCAAGCATTCTTTCTTCTTCTGGCAGCCATGTTTAGGGAAGCAGAAATGCTTAGCTGCAAGTTGCTATAGGGCAACTCTAAACTGTAAAAAGTTTCTGCAGCCCGCTATGTGCTCAGACACAGAGTTCTTCATGTTTGTTTGGGCAGATAATATATGATGAATAATGAAACAGAAACCCAAAAGAGAAACCAAAGGTGGCACAACTTGATGCTTCAATCAATTTTAAGTGTTTCCCAAGTTAAAGCATCTCTAAGTCACTGATTCATTCATAGAGAAAGTTATTTCTATAAGCTTTTTTTTGTGTGGTTTAGGTGGAAATGGAGGGAATTTAAATAGAGGTTGTACAGTGTAAGTAGACTGTACAGATGTTACCGGTATTAAACTCATCTACTAATCATAGACGCCATGATTTAGTTGGTTATAAATTTACACTTGTATGAGGGTGAATGTGAAGATTCAAGGAGGGGGGACCTTATGGTTGTGTCTCCATAAATTTGGAACGTTGTCACCGGCCTGTAATAAACAGGGCACTGAAAACGTCGAATGATATTTGACAGCTGTGCTTAATTAGTTATTCTGACACAGACTCATAATATTTGCTGTTAATATTCATTCAGAAACATCCTGCTGGCTGTGATAATATTTATATGTTAATCCTGTTATGATAAGCTTTTAGTGCCAAAACCTCTTGAAACAAAATGAGTGATATATTTCAAAACGTATATAAAGAAATGTTCAGGCATCCCGGTTAAGTTAGTCACTTGCACAAATATCTCCTTAATCCATGAAATTACACCTGTCACAGTAAGTTAGCTTTATTAACACTATTTCCTGATCCATGTAAAACGATCAGGATCACAAAAGCATTGAATCTCAAGTTAATTAACATTGCCACCTTTGCATTCATGTGATCAGATCTCTGATTTTTAAGAGTAATTAAACAATATGTAAATAGAGTCTGAAGAATTTCTAAAAGAACTCCAGAAGCAAACAACTTGATAACAGAGTTCAATATTTAACTGTTATCCATTCTGCATATTTAGCACCGTTAAACATGCAAAGAGGAATTATTTGCCAATAAGAGCTCTCTTCCTCCCCATTATAATGCTTGATCTTACTCCTAAGAGTGAGTGGCAAAATAGACATGGGTGATATTTAATAAGGAAATCAACATGCTGAATAAGGCATTCCTAATATTTTAAATTTCATTTACATATTAACCAGCATAGTGACAAAAAGAAGTTTTCAAAAGTAAAACAAAGTCCAGAGTTTTCGTGACTATAGAAAGTCAGATAGAATAAAACAAAAATAAATGGGTATGATTGAATGGGATATCACGGTACTGTCTGGATGAGTTTATTTCCTCCGATCTTGGTAATGGTAAGGACAGGCCCATGTGACCTTGGACTACTCACTTAATCTCTCTGTGCCTCAGTTCCCCATCTGTAAAATGGGGAAGACAGCAACTCGCTACCTATCCTCCCTATGAGGATAAATACATTAAAGATTGTGAGATGCTCAGATACTACAGAAGCGGGCACCATAGGTACCTGAAATAGATGACAGTAAAGCTATTAAGCGACCCTATCTCTATTTAAATCAGCGGTTCTCAAACTGTGGATCAGGACCCCAAAGTAAGTCACTTGGTTGGCTTGCTGGGGCTCGGGGCCAAAGTCCAAGCCTGAGGGCTTCAGCCCCAGGCAGCAGGGCTCAGGTTACAGCCCCCCTGCCCGAGGCTGAAGCCCTTGGGCTTTGGCTTTGGCCCCTAGCCTGGGAAGGTGGGGCTTTAGCTTTGCACCCCTGGGGTTGGGGGGTTGGATGGGCTCAGGCTTCAGTCCCCCCTCCTGGGGTCCTGTAGTAATTTTTGTTGTCAGAAGGGGCTCGTGGTGCAATGAAGTTTGAGAACCCCTGGTTTAAATCAGTGAATACTGTATTTTGACAATTGAATGTATATTGGAGAATTCAGTATATTTTTTCCATACGCAAAGAAGTATCCACCCAGGTCGAAAATAGGGATGGGCAAACTTGGAAAGTCTTGGAGAAGAACCCCAAAGTCTGGATCCAAACTAGGCAAATCTTCTTAGTCCCCAAATTCAGTGAAAATGTAGTGTGGCCACGCTTTGTCCTGAGATTTCTAGACTTTGTGCTTATTGC